GAGAACTTTTTGTGAACATTCAGCCAATGTTTAATTAGTTAATATTTGCCTTTTACATCAATAAATAAAGCTAATACTGAGCCACACAGTAGTTTGTAAATAAATTAATCATTTTATTTTTATCATATTTAAAAGTTCCTCGATAAATAGAAACTTTCCTTCATCACTGAGGATTTGTTTGATACAAAGTCCATAATTCGGAACGTCCATTATCCGGAATGATCTATAATCCAGACCTCAAAGCGATAAACGTTTTTTGTATGCTTTATGCATGCACCTTTAATGTACAACGGACGGTATAAGCTAGGCTAAAATTACCTTTACTGATTCTAAGGCATTTCAGTTAATGTTGCAGATTGCGCTGTTCCTTAATCTTCTAATTGGATACAGCTTATTATATTTTGCAGACTGTTAGAGCAATTTGATAAAAATTAAGCTTGAACTTTCAATTATGTCAAAAAGAGTTTCCAATTCTGGAGCTGCCAAAGGATCTACAAAGTGAAAGCATGCTTCGATGTAGTGGAATTGCTGAAAAAAATACATAAAGGCATATTCGTCTCAAAATTATGCGAGGAGTATGACATTGGAAAGTCAACTGTATATGGCATAAGCAAAAATAAAAAGGAACTTTTCTGGATTTTTTGTGGATTCCGACACCCCACTTGCAATGAATAACAGAAAAAGGGTTTGTTATGCTAAAAGTGACAATCATGACAAAGTGATGATTGAATGGATCAGACAACATCGCAGCAAGGGCGTGCCATTGATGGGTCCAATGCTAATGGCTCAAGCCAAAATATTTCATGAAGAAATGAACTTAAACACTGAATGCACATATTCGACAGATTGGTTAACCAAATTTAAAAATCGCCATGGTATCAGACAATTCAAAATTTCAAGTGAAAAAGGTTCAGCTAATACTGAAGCTGCTGAATAATTTGCAGATGAAATCATTGAATTCATTACTAGTGAGCAATTATCTCCAGAACAAATTTACAATGCTGATGAAACTGGTCTTTTCTGCAATATGTACCGGGAAATACCTTGGCAACCTCTACAGAAAAGGCTCCAATTGGTGTCAAAGATTCCAAAGCGAGACTAACAATTTTAGCGTGCGCAAATGCTGCAGGAACGCACAAGTGCAAACTTTTCGTAATCAGAAAACACTACCTCAACTGTTTAAAAGAATAACAATTTTCTCCGTTATTTATCACAAATAAAAGAGCATGGATGACACAAGCATTGATGAATGATTGGTTTGAAAATCATTTTATGCCCGAGCCTTGGCGACATTTGAATTCGGACGGTTTACCTGATGACTCAAAAATAGTCCTGATTGTTGACAACTGTTCGCCGCATACTTCACTTAAAGTTTTAGTGAAAGATAATGTATCCATATTATTCTTCCCTCCAAATTGTACGTCTATCATTCAGCCTTTGGATATGGGAATAGTGCACGCGCTGAAATGAAAATATAAAGGTACCATTTTTAAAATCTATGTTAAATTTGTTGAACAATGGCAAGACTATTCTTTTAGCATAAAATATGATGCGTTTAGCATAGCAAGATTGTGGAAGGATGTGTCTCCAGATACGTTAAAAAATGCTTGGCATAATTTATGGCCAGCTACCATATTTCATGGTGAGGATGATGAAGATGATAGCCAGGAATTTGAAGGTTTTCGGACATTGCAAACTGAAGGTGAAATTTTCCATTTATTGGATTTTGTAAAGAAATGTAGAGAAGCGGTAATAAATGAAGATGATATAACAGAAATTTTTCGTTGCAACGACAATGCCCCAATCATCAATCAATTAACGGACGGCGAAATCTGTAGTATGGTTCTAGATCCAGAAAAAAAAACGCTTCCAATACTGAAGAAAGTGACAGAGAGGTTATTGAAAATGAAAAAATTTCGATTGACAAGTTAGTTGGTATTCTCGACACAGCTATTACAGGACTTGAACAGTGAAACTTGACAAAAAATTATGTCTGTTTATAGAATTAAAGAAAAAGTATTAGCACAAAAAACGAAGCAATTTAAACAACTTACATTGAAAGAAATGTTAATAAAAGTAACAAATAATATTAGCCTTTTTTTTTTTTTTGTAAATTTGATACCCTTTAGATCATAACTGCCTCTTTATCTAAATTACAGTTTCATTTTTTAAATTGTATGATCTATAATGCCGATCCTACCAGATTTAAATTGATGAAAACCCTAATCCGGAATCCCTGAAGTCTGACGAGTCTGGGTGACAGACTTTGTACTGTATAAAAGTGTGAGAAAATTAAAAAATGAAATGAGTGTTTGAAACCTTAAAAACCAGATTTCTGCAAAAAAATTTAAGAAACCATGAGGTTTTTAATTGAAATAATTAAATGAGCATTTGAAATCTTAAAAACCAGAAGATTTCTGCAAGAAAACGTAAGAAATCGTGAGGATTTTAAAGCCACATGGCAGTACCATTTCAAAAAACACCAGACTGAAATTCACTTTGTAACAAATGATTCAGGGTATTGAATCATTTATAATACAATTCTGATGTAAAATTTATGTTCTTTAGCAAATTTTTTTTTTAATTTTCTTATACTTTGATGTCGAGAAAACCCAAGAAATGAAAGTTTTTATTTATCAAAGTACTTTAAATTACTGCAAAAATAAAATTAATGTGCTTTGTATTTGTGTAGATAAACATAGTCATGTACCATCTATTGAAGTGAAAGAAAATTAAATGCAAATAGTAACTGATTTAAACGTTGTTCATATCTTCATATAAAAATCTACAAATATCTACAGTAGATTAATATAACTGAGACCAAATGAAATCTAATAAGGCAAAGAACAATAAATGAAATCTAATAAGGCAAAGAACAATAAAATATAAAAAGAAAGACAATTGAGATGACATTTAATGAGAAACATTATTCTGAAAATCATTAGAGATGGGGGAATGTAATTTGCCTAATTAAAGTAAATTTAATTTATTAATATTTTCCTTAGTAAAGGCTAAACGTTAAAAAATTGAAGATTCGATGATCTACTGAGAGATGTGATGATAAATGAGAAGATTATGAATTAACCAAAGAATAAAAATTTTAGACTATCTAATTATTGATACATTTTACATTAGAATCATATTATCAGACAACAGAATTCAGGTTCAGTTATAAGGTATTTCTCCCACGGCGGTTGCTAATTTTTCATCTCTTCGGCTTCCAATTCGCCTAATGTCTCTACAAGTGTCGCCCGAACTGAAAGGGTTGTGGATGATGATTCTTTGCACACAGGATTTGGTGACTAGGTCCCCTAAAACCCTAGTCACCCTTTAAAAAGGGAAGTATATAAGGTATTTCTCCCACTTCCCTAGCGAGCCTTCGTGGTGTAGTGGTTCTGCACTCTGAGCCAGTATTCCAGAGGTCCGTGGTTCGATTCCCGGCGAAGGCGGTTGCTAATTTTTCATCTCTCCAGCTTTCAATTCACTTAATGTCTCTACACAGTAATTATTACAACAATATTCAGTACATTTAGTTAATTATTAATTCAGTAATTATTAGTTCAGTATTCAGGTTCAGGAACCTGAATTCTGTTGTAAAAAGTAAATTTGGAATTCTTTCAAAATGATGTTTTGATACAAGAATACCCCAGTTTTTCATATTTCAAGTTGACAGCTAAGCTGTTGTAAAGTACAGTTTCCAAATTACTGTATGGCGAAAGAAGATATAAACTATATTAAAATTAATTTCATTTATCTATTTTTAATGGTAAAGTGTTTTTCTCTTTGTCTTTGATCCAAAGCATTCATTGATATGCTAGTTTCATCTGTAAAATTCATATTATGCTTTTTTAAAAAAGAAAAAATAAAAAAAAAATCTTTTTTTACAATCTCAGCAAGTATGTTTTTCCAATTACCTTTGCCTAATACTCTGCTCAGAAATATTAATTTCATTACTTAAATACTCATTAAGAGCCTTAATGACAATTTTTGTCACCAAGTTGTTGACTTTGATGACTTTCTGGAAGTTGCTGCAAAATGCATGATACTTCAGGATTAAAGTGGCTACCTTTGTCATTTATCAAAATCAGGAGATTAGTCGCCAAGTTCGATAAATTTAATTCCATGATTTTTAACCTGCAATGGATTTGATTTTCAGAGTTTTAATTGCAGCCTTACTTGCTTGATAAGATCGAATCACTAATTCTATCCCCCCCCCTGCTAGAATGTTTAGCATTTTAACTTATAACAAATTAGAAAAGAAGTACTTTTTTTGTGATATTTATGATATGTCACATTTTTTATTTTCATGCTCACTTTTGACAGTGTGATAACATTCTATCATTAATTATTTTCTTTTCAAGTGGCAACTTTGAACTTTCTGTCAATTTGAAAATAAAAATTAGGTTCTTTGTGATACTGTTTATTCTTTTACTTTTTTAGTTATTAATTTTTCCTCTAAATGTTCACCATATTTAATGTGCTGTCAACTGAAAAGAAGAAATGGTTTTCTTTCTTACAAGTGCAGATAATTTTGTATACTCAGCAAAAGTGTAAAAATGGCCACGGAATGAAATTATTTATAGGGAAGTTTCGGCCAAATGGCAAAACAGGAGACAAAGAGGCATGCCTGGCCACATTTAGATCCGTTATGGCTGCAATATGTAAAATGAGACAAAATTTATTATTCTTTTATGGCAACAATTACTGAATTAAATAAATGTTATTTGTTCAATGATAAATAAACATTATTTCAGGTTCAGTATGAATATATGTTACCAATTTTTAAATAAACAGTTAATCATGTTCACGTATTGTGGTTTTTCATTTCATGAAGGTTGCTATACTGTTTTTTAATACTTGCCAAATTAATTTTAAATGTTGCCAAGCGATGGCAGCTTTAATACTGAAGTTCCAAACATTTTTTAAAGTTGTATAACTTTATAAGAATTTCTTGTTAAATCTATTTATGTGTAACACTCATATTCCCCCCTTTTTTTTAGCTAAATTTTGATGCTCTTTTGCCGAACGTCAACCTGAACAAAACTTTGGGACCAGATTGGGATCTTTACGTCATGACCACATTGGCCATGCTTCTTGGGATTGTCGTCTACTTCAGGAGAGTTCCACAGGGATGACCAAAGAATACAATCACTTAGAATTTAAACAATTTTGAAAATATTAAATTATTCCGAATTTTTGTGTTTACACCAACAACATCCTCAGTATTACCCTCTACTCATGTGAAATACTGGAATACAAAGCTGTTGATACTAGTTTCTTCTCACTCAGACACCAACCGAAAGCTAGATAATGGTGCATCATGAAACTGTGATTGGTCCAGATTTTTATCATATGTACTTTATTTGGTTAAATGTGGAACTGTTAGCTGTATCTATTAAACATTCTACGAATTTTCCCAGCTTTGAATTTATTTCAATATACATGTGAAGTATGTTCTAAATAATATGGTCTGGATAGAGCCAGAATTCCAGATATTTTATTTTCTCAAATCCAAAAGTTCCAGATTTGAGAAACTGCATGCATACATAATTATCATTGTTCACCACGTTACATGTCATCGTATGAACCAGGAATTTTGAAAATAAATATCCGTGATTAATTTTTACTTTTGCAGAGACTGCAAAAAAATTATTAGGAATTTTGGAAAGGTTAATCCATTAAAAGAGAATTTAAATGTATTTTGAAAGAGGCATATATAGAATGTGCTGATTAAGTTAAATAAAAAAAATAAATTCTGAAAGATTCAGATTTTAACATTACACTACAGGGTTTGTTAAGTTATTTTATACTCTCACTGAGCATTGCAGGTTATCAGTCTGCTCTTGGACCCACTCCTGCTAGCACATTAAAAAGAAATCTTTTTATCTTTTAAAATTAAGCTTACCTTTCTTCGCACTTACACCACATAAATTTCAAAAGTAAAATCACAAAATATTTAAAAGCAGCATAGCTGCATATGTTTAGAATTCCCAATACAGTGTTAAGTGTTGGCACATATTTTTCTATTTTTTCAGTTTACAATATCAATGTTCAGTTTTCTTACTAAGATGACTTACACAACTTTGTCTTTTTATTATTAAATTTTTGTGTGCTTAATTTTATTTATTAAATATCACTTGTTTTATACTTGTACATCATAAAATTCAACAGCAAAATTGCAATATATTGAAAAGCAGCATATCTTTGGAATTATTACTAAAGCATTAGGGATTGCCATACATGTTTTTTATATTCACTATATCATTCCTCTAGAATGCAGCCCACTCATCCAGTCACCTAAAATATTTATCATTAAAAAGAAAAAGTATTTAATTTTAATGAGTCCAGCTAGTGTCATTTTATAACAATATTTAATAGTTCTTATTAGATAGCTCATGATTATGCAATTTTATTTAAATCAGTCATATTAAAAAGTAGAAAATATATTCTTAAGAAGTGCTTTGATTGATTTTAAAATGCTTAGTTCATTATTAAGTAACCTACAAGATTCAATCTGAATGTTAAATATCTAAAAACTTTACTGAATGGCAACATACCAGGGCATGGAAAATAAAAGTATTTTACTTCCAGCTGGGCAACATATTGCTTTCAAATAGCCAGTTGATTAAAATTAAAAGATTTTAATCAATGAACTACATTTTGCTGAACACATTTTGGACAACTACATTTAACCTTACATTTTGCCGAATAGCAACAATCTGGTGCATGAGAGATAAAGATGTTTTATTTCGAACAGTGTTGCCACTTCTTGCTTTTAAATTGCCGAGTTTATTGATCTGAAATTCATTAAATTTGTACAAAATATGAAATAAATAAAAAAAATTGAAATTCAAAATTGGCACTTTAAGGTTCCCATGATCGTATGGAAGACTATATGTATTAAAAATTTAGTGACTCTAGATGGTACTGTTTTTCCACAATGTGAGAAACGTACATGCATTTATACATACATACATACATACATGCATTATTTAATTTTTTTAAACAATTCATGGTGATAACATTTGGTGGGAACATTTTGAAAAGTGATATAATTTCAAGACAAATACCTCCTCCAGTGCTAATAATAATAATAAAGCTATCCTTTAAAAACTCAATTCAAGAAATTTAATGGCGTTAATCTTGTTCTACATTGTGCAAGCATTGCTTTTATACATTTGATAAAATTAGCATATAATTTGCCAAACATTATTTTGGAAGATGAAAATATTTATGCTACACCAAAAAGTTGGAAATTATAAAATAAATAATCACTTTTCTTAGAAAGAAAGAGACAAGCAAACAAAACTTTCGTTATAATTTTGGAAATATTTTGTAAATTTTTGGGTTGAAATATTAAAACTAAAAGAGAATAGAAAACAGAATTACTCAGTATTAACAAACTTGATTTGTTAAAGCCCTCTTCCTTGGATCCACTGTTAAAAGTGTATTCAATTTCATGGGTTATATTAAACTAGAATCTAGAAGAGGGTTTTCCAGCAGGTTTAGTATTGACACCTTGGGGGTCGATATAATAAAAGGGGGTCAGTGATGATCAAGGGTTCAGTAGTTTAGTATGCACTAGGTATTGATTGTCATAATCAAGATCCCATCGATTACCAAAAAATTATTCATAAAATTGATTATTAATATGTCAAGTGGTAAAAAAGAAATTATATAAAATAAATCTAAGGGGGGGGAATGTAGTAAAATAATTTAATATATTTAAGAAAATAATAGTTACGTGCAATATAAAAAAGTAAAGCACAAGACACACAGAAAAGTACCAAGAACACAAAACTGAAACAGAAACCAAGAAACAGGCTGAATATTTTTTAATGTGATTTAAAATTCATATTAAGCAATTTTATGTCAAATTTAAAAAAAAAAAAAAAATGTATCAGTATATTGAGTGCAGCTACACATTCATTAAAATTGGACTCTCTTGCACAAAATAATTTAACATAATAACAATAAACCAATCTTTCAGAAAGATGGTAAAAAACCAATCTTTCAAAAGTGTTTCATATTCTTAATTTAATTGTTATATTTAAGTTATTTATGTGCAGTTGTTTATATTATGATACATCGTACAGTACAAAGTCCATAATCCGGATCTCAAAGCTACAAACTTTTTTTTGTATGCTTTATTCATGCGCGTAATGTGTTTACGCATACGCATATGCATTGGGAGGATGTGTCTCCAGATACATTAAAAAATGCTTGGCGTAATTTATGGCCAGCTACCATATTTCATGGTGAGGACGATGAAGATGATAGCCGCGAATTTGAAGGTTTTCGGATATCGCAAACAAAAGGTGAAATTTTCCATTTATTGGATTTTTTAAAGAAATGTGGAGAAGCGGTAATAAATGAAGATTAACAGAAGTTTTTCATTGCGGCGACAATGCCCCAATCATCAATCAATTAACGGACGGCGAACTGTGTAGTATGGTTCTAGATCCAGAAAATAGTGCTTCCGATAGTGAAGAAAGTGACAGAGGTTATTGAAAACGAAAAAATTTAGATTGACACAAGTTAGTCGGTATTCTCGACACGGCAATAACAGGACTTAAACAGTGGAATTTTGTAACTGAACAAGAAATTATGTCTGTTTATAGAATTAAAGAGAAAGTATTAGCACAAAAAATGAAGCAACTTAAACAACTTATATTGAAAGAAATGTTTAATAAAGTAAACAAATAAATATTAAGCCTTTTTTTTTTTTTTTTTTTGTAAATTTTGATACCCTTTAGATCATAATTGCTCTTTATTTCATAAATTATGGTTTCATATTTTTAATTGTATAATTTCTGCATGCCATCTTACCAGATTTAAATTGATGATCTATAATCCGGAAAAACACCTAATCCGGAATCGCCGAAGTCCCGACGAGTCCGGATTACGGACTTTGTACTATATACTGTATATTATACAAAAAATTGCAAAGGAAGAAAAACATTCTTTTGAAAGAGGTGGATACAGTAACTGCTGTAAACTATAATGAGCAAGGATGTATTCTGAATTTCTACAACAGCACACTGCTTATCACCAGATTTAAATAATATATAGTGAGAGATCTGTAGGGTTTAGCATTATATGTATTTTAATGTTGACTGCATTATTTGTGTATTAACTTTGTTAAATATTGTATAGCATATAAAATAATGAAATACACCGGATAAAAATTAAAAATTTCTTTATCAAACCCCTTGCATTTTCCTCTATTATAGACATAATGCAACATAATCATAATACAAATATTTGTGCATAAGTAAAACTTAAAGATTGCAATTAGACAAGAATTGGGAGAAAATTTTGAAAAAAAAAAATTATTAGAATAATGTTCCATTGTTATTATTTAAAATTTTATAAATATAAACAAATTTTCGGAAACAACAACCGAAAAAAAAAATTTAGTAGAACAAAAGTTTCAACTTTAATAAATGTAATGGCTGTGCTGAATGTACTGATGTATGTCAGTTTTTTTATTATTTGGCATAAAATCATTTAACTCTTAAATCTTCTTGTTCAAAATATTCAACCTGTTCTTATTTTCCATTCTAGTTCTGAAATCTTAATTTTTTTATTGTGTTTTTCTTGTATTCTAGCATTTTACTTGGGCATACCGCATAAAAAATTTATATATTTTAAAACAATATTATCAATTTTTTAAATATATTAAATAATTTTAGTGTATTTTTTCCCTTGTATTTATTTAATATGATTACTTTCTTATTGCATGATATAGCTTTATATCAATAAACAGTTAATTATACACTTTATTAATATACATAGTTTTTGGCAATTAACAGGATCACAAATATGCCCACAAATTGTCATTGCATATTTAGCTATTGAGCCCTTGAGATCAGTGAGCCATCTTTAAAATTTCATCAACCCCCAGGGATCATTACTGACCTGCTGGGAACCCCTGGTTCTGAGTCTAACATAATGTTATTTGTAAAATCAAATACACTTTCAACTCTTTCAAGACAGCGCACCTTTGTTAAAAACGTTCCTTCGGGACAGATGGGAGTGCAAAGGAATCATCCCACAGGACAAGGGTTTTGCTCTGCTAAACCTAACTTTAGAAAAAAAAAAGTTTAAGTCCTAACATCATAATTTGTGGTAGTATTTTAGATTATTATTTAAGCTATTGCTTACCGTGAGAAATAATTCTCGGAAATGCTATTCAAATTATTCCGAAATTTTAATTGACAAAATACATTAATAAACTTTAATAAAAAGTTTTCAAGAAAGATTATGTACAAGAAGTAACAAAATCCTTTATGGGAAGTGGAAGGCAGACACTCAGTGAGTTAATCTCTGACAAAATGTCCATTACTAGAAATATCTCTCTCTAGAAAATAAATTATCACTCTCATCCATGTCACTGATTGGTTACTTAGTAAACTGATGTGAAGTCCTTCCAAAATAAGAAGGCAAAATTTAAGCAATGCAAGGCATAATAGAACCCCACATAGTGAACCTAAGAGACCGTACATAGTAGTAGGGGAAAAAAAAAAAAGGATTCGAAGGGATAACACGAATGTTTATTATCACATGGCAAGTTAAAGAGCCCCAGCTCTTTGATCACAGACTTTGTTTCGTATGTATTTTCTTTTTATCCTTTTAAAAACTGATTACAAATTTTATGGATAAAAAGGAATAGAGAGCAAGCTGCAAGTATTAAATTCAAGAAAGTAGTTTTAACATTTAAAGCAAAATACTACATTAATTGAAAGATTTGAATGTGACAAATTAACAATAAAACTCGCTGATGAATATGGAAGTGGCATGCAGACTTTTCGTTATACTGTTAAGCAAAAAAGAATTGCATTCTTTAAAAGCATCTCAATTACTCTTTCAGCTGAGCTTTAAATTTTGGGATAGGAAAATTAGTCCTATAGACATTCATATGTAACTCTGAAACATTTAAGCAGAAAAATCACCTCTAGCATACTAAGAAATAATTATTACAATGCATTAAACTCTTTGAGGGGCAGGAAAAGGCAATTAACTTTTTTAGGAAAACTCTTGTTTTATTTACTATATCAGGTGTTACAGTGAAATTATTTGCAACAATTACACATATTTTGTTCCAAGATATATGAAAAGAATTACTGCTTCTGGTGGTTAGTGCCAGTGACCACCACCCACAGAACACACCTACAAATCAGTCTCTATGGTACTTATAGAAACAGTTTTTCTTTTTCAAGCAGAGTGCAACTTTGCATGTGCTGCATTCCCACACTGTTCTTACAGGCTTTTTCTTGGTGCTGCAGAGTGCACATCATCGTAATGTTGTCTTCAATGGCTGAGGCTTATTTTCTTGAGAAGAACAAATTGCTGCATCAACTACCGGCTTATGTTTCTTGATTGCCATCTAGTGAGCTACAAGGGAACTTCAGAAATGGTCAGTCTTGAAAACCACTCATACAAGTGAGTAAAACGTTCAATAGAAAAAGGTGGTTACTGTAGGTAACCACTGCCCTTCAAAGAGTTAAATTAATTCCTTCAGTACTGGATCTTGTATAGTAGTAGAATATTTTAATACAGTAGTTGAAAATTAATGTTATAGTGATTAATATTATCATTTGCACATTGTCATTGAATTGCTAGTCTGAGACTTCCTGGAATAATGACAGGAACGATGGTTTATTTTTTTCTTAGATCTTCTGTGCGATGCCATGTACCAAGACTAATAGTGACTTATTACTATTATGTAGAGGAGCACCTGAGTGATGATTCCATACAAATTTGAATTAGGGCACTCTTTCATTAAGTCGGACATTTATCCTTCCTCGTGTCTTAGTTATGATACCACAAGGGAGTTTTTGTTTCAGCACTGACTTCTGTTTAAAAATTGGAAAAGGGAGCAATTTTTTACTATCAGCAGTCGCTGCCAATATTATTGTGAAATGGAACTTTTCAGCTCCTTTAGTTTTTACTAACAGAGAAGATGCCTTCTTTTAATTACCTACACACTACCTACTCAATAATGCTTTGTGACCATTGGCCCGAAAAACAGCTGCAACTCGCCTTGGCACAAGTTCTTGGTAGATGACTGGAGACAAAACAGCATGCCTAGACATAGCTATCGACATGGAATGAAAGAGAAATAATGAATCATCTGACCAGGCAACTGTCTTATCCATGGTCCAGACTCGATGTTCTTGGGCCCATTTTAGGCATAATTGACAATGGCACTTAGTCAAAAGAGGCATGTGAGTGGGAGCTGGTCATCTAGTAATATTAGCAGTCACTGCTAATATTATTGTGCAATGCAGCTTTTCAGTTCCTGTTGTTTTTACTAACACAGAAGATGCCTCCTTTTGATTACCTACACTGAAAAGCCAAAACATTATGACCACCTACTCAATAATGCGTTGTGACCTTTGGCCTGCAAAACAGTTGCAGCTCACCTTGGCACGGATGCCACAAGTTCTTGGTAGATGACTGGAGGCAGGACAGCGTACCCTGACATGATGAAAGAGAAATCGTGGTTCATCCGACTGGGCAACTGTCTTTCACTTATCCATGGTTCACACTTGATGTTCTCAAGCCTGCTGTAGACATAGTTGACAATAATGCTTGGTTAACAGAGGCATGCGAGTGGGACATCTGCTGCACAGTCCTATATTTAACAGTATCTATGGAACTGCATGTTCCATAACACTTAACACTTGGGCCTGCACTGTATTGGACTGCCAGCTGAGACACTGTCTGGTGCAGAATTTGCTGTACCACGAAGGACAGTATCCAATGCCTTTTTTTTCGATGATGTGTGAACATCCAACCCCTTAACATCTACTGCTGGTTTCACCATCATTTATCCACTTTACATAAATACTAACAGTAGCAGATTGTGAACAACCTACCAGTCATGCAGTTTTGGAGATACTTGTTCCAACTCTTCGAGCCAGTATAATCTGCTGTCTGTCAAATTTGCTTAGATCAGCAGCCTTTTCCATCACTAGCAAAAGTAATTGCAAGAATGATTCCTTACCTTCTCCAGCAGCAGTTGAATACCATTCCCATTTAATCATGTGCTTTCCATGTCATCCAGACAAGTTCATTGAAAAATGTAGGGATAGTCATAATATTTTGGCTCATCAATGTCTAGTATTATTATGCATATAAGAAAAAATACAAGTTTGTACTGCATTTTCTATATGTTCAAGATCTAATCATAATCTTTCTCTGCTGGATCAAAAAGTGTGTACTTCTGACACCTTTTTTCATAATCATGTGATAGCTATTCTGTTTCTTCTCATAAAATAAGCAGTCCATCCTTTGTTTGCTTTGAATTGTTGGGCTGTAATATCATGTTTCTTCACTTTTACTTGTATCATTTCATGCGATACAGCTATGCCATTGTTTCTTTGCTCCACCATGTGATTTAGTACTTTATAATGAAATTCTAGAAATTATATGGTTTTCGATCCAGAAAAAGGCTCTTGCTCTAAATTTTTCTATCTCAGTTCATCTCTCTATTTTCTGCATTATCAAATCAAACACCAAACTGTCTACTGGCAGGTTTCACATTAACTTCAACGAATTTTAATACTTTTAATTTAAATTTTGCTATGTAGCTACGATTATTTTCTTTCCCCATGGTGACCATTCCCAAATAATTGGAATGCTTTTCTTGCTAAATGTCTGTGTGTGTGAAGAGAATAAAGGATGTTTTTTCAAAATGTAAAATGGATTTTTTCGGGACATCTGTATGTGCGTACTTATCTCGCATAACTCAAAAAACAACTAAAGAATGTTGAAATTGTGTAAATGGGACTGCTATAATATCTAGTTTTGCATCTCTCTTTTTTATTGCAATTGGCAGCACCAAACATATATACATATATATATATATATACACACCCACCCACTGACCTTGCTTAAAACTCTACCCAGCTCTTATTTTCACAATCATTGGTCGTAATCATACACTTCTAGTTAAGAAGTGTTTTAAATGATGAAAATATTAATGTTTTGGCAATGTCAGATTTAAAAAAAAAATTAATTTTGGACAAATAAAGAGATTTAGCTTTTAATGCCCAGTTCCAATACTTATTTATGCAATTTAATGGGCTGTACAAGAAGTCATGTGATGTCCACATCAGGTTTTTTAAAAATAAAGTTAGCTTGCCAGACACGGTCAAATTAGATTATAAATATTTTCAATTGACAGAAAAATGCCACCATTTAGCTTGATTTCAATTTCAATCAACCGTTTAAAATCAAGTTAAGAAACAATCTCTGTTGTACTAGTATATATTTAGATTAGACATAAATCCCTTTTCTTCAGGATGAAAGGAAATTTCTGTAAAATTTTTTCTCTTTTCCTTGTTCTCCTTAAAAAAAAAAAAAAAAAAAAAAGAAGAGCCATGAAAACATCAAATACATTTTTTCCCCTTTTTTTAAACCTACGTTTTAATTTTGTATTGGCATGGAGCGTTTCAATGAGGCATGCCCTCTAAGTATTAACTGGTCATATCATCTTCAAATAATTTCCAGAAACATTATGAACAGATTGTTCATAAATGAACTTTCACATTAGATACATTATGACATCCATTGCTGTTTTGAAGGATTTTTTTTTTCATACTGTTTAATCAATCAAAATTGTCATGAACCAAACATGATCAGATACTGTAGAAAATATTTTCTGTGTAGTTTTATTTATGGTGTAATAATAAATAATTTCCAGAAACATTATGAACAGATTGTTCATAAATGAACTTTCACATTAGATACATTATGACATCCATTGCTGTTTTGAAGGATTTTTTTTTTCATACTGTTTAATCAATCAAAATTGTCATGAACCAAACATGATCAGATACTGTAGAAAATATTTTCTGTGTAGTTTTATTTATGGTGTAATAATAAATAATTTCCAGAAACATTATGAACAGATTGTTCATAAATGAACTTTCACATTAGATACATTATGACATCCATTGCTGTTTTGAAGGATTTTTTTTTCATACTGTTTAATCAATCAAAATTGTCATGAACCAAACATGATCAGATACTATAGAAAATATTTTCTGTGTAGTTTTATTTATGGTGTAATGACATATTTGTTACATTTTGTCCTAAACACTGTATTAAAAAAATGTATAATTTGACTTCTAAATAATGCTTTTTTGTACTCATTGAAGTATTCAGTAGCTAACAGAGCTGACAGAAGCATGACACATAATCAAATTTTCATTTTACAAAATTTTCAACATTTGATAATACATGACAGAACTAGATGAAGAAAGATGAATTCAAGTGTAAACATATATATATATATATATATATATATATATATATATATATATATATACCTAGAAATTTATTCATATTCAGATTTCAAAGAAAGAAACTACAGCTTTTAAATTCATGTAACTAATCTTCAGCCTTTTCCATCTGTTTCCGTTTCTTCTCGGCTAGCTTGTTTAGTCGTCTTTCTCTTTCATGTTCTTTCATCCTAATGACATGGCTATAAAAGAGTAAATAATATTGATTTCATGATTAATAATAATTTCAAGAGAATGAATAATACTGATTTCATGTTTCATAATAAGTACTACTGATTTGAAAATAATCATAAATTGGCCATAGATGGGATAGTGGTTAGCGGCACTGAGAACCATACTGGTGGACCTGGTGATAACATGGATGCTTGTAAGCACGTAGTGTGTATAGCATGGGAGCACTCAAAACACAAAGAAACCAGAAATCTTCTCGAGACGTTAGTAATAAGAAGGAAGGGATGGGTGATCCTTCAACCGTACCCTCTAGTGTTCCCCTAGTGCCGGGAAGGAACTGCACAGTTAGTGTGGTGGCACTGTACCTGTGTGACTAATAGTGGAATTCTTGTGTCCCACCCACTCTACCTGTAGCTGTATCTGGCTACAGTGCAACTTCCTAGCCAACAATTGTTTGAAAGTAATATTTAAGAATCTCAGTTGATCTGGAGAAAAAGCACATTTACATCACACCTGCTTCGTTTTGTTATTATATTCTCCATTCTTAGACCTTGTAAAGGAGTGGATTTATTATTTTTATGGGAGGAGAGGGAGAGTTATTGGTCCAAAAATCCAGATATTGAACGATTCTGGATACTGGATGTCCACATTTTATACTGTACTGATTTCATGTTTCATAAGTTAAGTAATACTGATTTTCTTTATTTTAATACATTACATCAATTTGAGAATGATCACAAATAAGTAATACTGATTTTCTTTTTATAATAAATTATATCAATTTGAGAATTATCACAAATAAGTAATACTGATTTCATTAAAGACATAAATATAAGTAATAACAAGGTTACCACAAGTTACAAAGTCGTGTGTTTGTGAGTTTCATCCACACCATAAAAAAATAGTTGGTATTCTCACAACTGATAACCCACCAGGTGTATCCTTAACAATAGGTAACTTACACAGTGTTTGTGTTGCTTGCAAGTATGAATGAGGTGAAACATGAACCTAATGGCAAATCAGCAGTTGAATTTACCAAATAATTGTAAGAAATATGAAAGGAACAACACCCGCGATGCTACAACCTCATCCTGCCGAATCGTGAAAAACAAAAAATAAGACTATCACAGATCATACTCAAGATAAAAAATGCACTAGCTTTTAGACAGGGTAAACAGAGTTTAAACTATTGGTGTTTGCATCTGATACTTTATTTTACAGTGATTTGATTGAAAAATATTCTACTCATTTTACCTGCTTGGCAATATTTTGGCTTTCATGGCAACATGTCAGACAGTTACTGGAATTTTTTTATTTCCCATTTCACTTTATATATATGGGTTTTGAATTTTGGGTAAACTTTTGAAGGAAAATGCACTTTTGGCTTAAATATGGAAATATATAGAGTATGCATGTATTATACCTCTAGAGAGGTTTTTTGCTTTTCTGGGCATTTTTATCAGTGTGACTTCAAATTATAATCCTTCCTCTTAGAACGTGAATTTCATAAGATTCTGTGAATATTATCCTCTTTTTTTAAAAAAATTACCTCAATAAGTATGTTTCATGGCATTCTAAACTGATCTTTCTAATTAAGTAAGATTTCAAACATTCACTCTTTAATCTCCGCATGACCTTTAAATATGATAACTTTAAAATAATACTCAGTGAATTTTTGGTCATATGGGTGTCAATTTTTGTATGTTAGATTTCCTTAAATTGCACAGGATTTAATATAAATTTGGAAGTATCCAAATACATATTAAACTGCATCTGTGTATGTACACTGCACAAAAAAAAGGGGGGCAGTTCTGTATCTCCTGTTCTAGTGGGCCGATTGATGAAATTCAAATTGCATTTTTCATAACTCTAAAACGTGACTTAGGATATATATTAGATATAGCTTTGTTCAATTACATGTATTTTGACACAAAATCTGACTTTTCCTGAAGTAAATATGCCAAGTATTATAAAAATCGCAGAAGTAATTTAAAAAAAATTAGCTCTCAAAATTTTAGCAAAAAAAAAAGGGCGACTGTTCTATATCTCCCATTCTACTGGGCCGATTGACGAAATTCAACTTGTGTTTTTCATGTCTTGAAAGCGTGGTTTAGGATATGTATTAGATTTATATTTAATATTGTTCTAACGTAGGTATTTTGACACACAATCGGACTTTTTCTGACATGACATGCCCATTTTGTTTCCATATTTCGATTCTGTGACTTAAATTATGCCTAAATATTTAATTTTGTAAAATTTGGTACGAAATTTACGAAGAAATTCAAAAATTTATCTTCCGTATTTTTTTTTTTTTAAATTTGTGCCAAGAATAGTTCACTTGGCAAACTTCATAATTTATGGCAACCTATTTTCTTTTCCCTTTTTACATTGTGCATGAGAGGGAAAAAAGCCACATCATTCCTACTATCAAATAGTTTTAACAAGGTGCATAAACCACATTAGTTGTTATTATTGCTTTCAACAAAGATGCCAAATTTCAAAAGACGCCAATATATAAATTCATGCATATCTTCAGAAATTTTATATAAAAAGCTCTAATTGGTTCTTTTCTGTTTCGCAGCTGCAAATCTCGCCATGCAGACTTTACTGGCAACAACACACAGTATACACATAAAAAGATGTTTAACAAATGTTAGTTCTAAGAATTTTTTATTTTGAAGGTATAAACATTTTAATGTCGTTTAAAACTTTGTAAAAACACTTTAATTTAAGAATTTACTATGCTTTCATGGTACAACATCCTGATTTGCCAGTTCATATCACTTAACCCCAAGTGATCTCATCTCACGTAAACTACGCCACAAAAATCTAATTCTTTCAGTAATTATCTATATTAATTTAAAGTTAAATCTTAATATGCAATAGAAGTTTAATTGAAAGAATTATTTTGATTCGTACTAGGAAATTATGTAAAATCACAGTGCATTACTTCGCGAATGCATTCTCATTAGAATTCATGAATTTAACCCTTAACTTTGCCTTTTCTATATTTTCGCTTTTGGGTGAGCAGTGTGATTGCATTCTAATGGACTTAATTACCGCAAATCATCTTAGGGCATAAAATTTAACTATCTTGTAAAAATTCTATGTAATTGTACGCCAGTATTGAAAAAAAAAAAAAAAAAACAATCGATCTGATAAGAAACCGTTGCGACTTGTTTTGAAATTGAGGCGTAAAAGGTTACCAGCGAAGATATTCCGTTTGGCGTCAGTTGTACCATTATTGGCGACTTTACCGTTTTGCGCCGGCAAAACGGAAAAGTACAAGTTAGTGTTATGTAAAAGGAAGTGAACTTTAGTTATTGATGTAATACTATTGTTAAATAAAATCAACGAAGAGGCAGGCTGCGCTTTTATTTCTCCTTATTATGATAAAGTCTTAGAAACATGGAAAGGATACCTTGAACTTACGGTATTCCAAGCTGAAGCAGTAGCATTGCGCCAGGCTATAACAACAGCTATGAAATTTGTTGACCGAGAAGTTTGCATCTTTTTAGATAGTCAGTCAGCAATCTTCGCTCTTCATGATCCATTCATGATTGTGCTTTCGAGACATGAAAAATGTAATTTGAACTTTGTCAAATGGCCCAATAAAACGGGAGATATAGAAACTGTCCTTTTTTTTTTTTCGTGCAGTGTTTTCCCCTCCAGGGGGGCAGTGTACATTAAATATGTCAATTACTGAATGTAGTGGTAATTGTCCACTTCTTGCTGAGGTCCTACCTATTACATGCAAGTACCTTCTTTGTTATAATTGTTCATTAACAGGATGATTCCTTTTATTTTCCTATATTTGACTAATTAACCAGATGGAACTTTACATGGAAAACTGTAATATGCATCACAAAATACTTACTCTTCGTATTCACAAGTATGATAATCATGCAGTTCATGGTGGCATTTGTATACTAATGGAAAATGCTCCCTTCGACATCCAAGAAAAACTAAATATTTATCGACGCAGTAGTCTCTTAATGCGGGAGGTATTGCAGCAGATTCCATTTCTTGTTGCGTTGCTTTTATCGCTAAAATAAAGTAAATACATGTAAAAAAAAGAATAGGTAATAATTAAATACATGTAAAAGGTAATAATTAAATACATGTAAAAGGTAATAATTAAATCCATGTAAAAAATAAGATAACAAATAGGTGATAATTAAATGCATGTAAAAAATAAATTAAATACAAGAAAGACAAAGAATAAATAATAATTAAATACAAGTAAAGAATAATGTGTAAAAGAATAAGAAATAATATATAATAAGGTAATACAGTAAAAGTCCAGAAATCCACAAAGCTTGGGACCAGAGGTTGTGTGGATTTTAGGACAGAAAAGATAAAGCATAATATTCGGACTAAAAGTACAAAATAAATAAGGCATATTAGATACATTTAATTAAATTATTAAATACATTATTGCAATAATTTATTATATGCATTAAATTATTATTACATATATAAATTGATTATATTATTCATTGTATTCGATGTACACAGCATCGAGGTTTGCTGATTTCGCCTCATGCAAAGATTTCCGGTTTCGGATTCCGGGGTTAGAATTACTGTTGCTTTAAAATTTTAACAGCTTTTCTTTATTTTTCCGTATAACATACACAATCGTGTTGCAATTCCATACCATTCTGTTATAAATCGAGCACCTGCCTCCATCTTTTGCAGAATTTGCACTTTTTGCATTACTGTCAATGCAATGTGTTTACGTTTTCCAACGTTGCAAGCAGTAAAATCATGAGTGCGTTTCTTATCTGTCATTGTATTAAAAAGGGCTGAAATTTAAAATATTCTTAATTTATCCACAAAATATCCGGATAAAAAAAAAGGCAGCACTACACAATCTCATGAAATAACAAAGCTCAGAAAATACAACATGAATCGTGAACTTTTTCGAAGAGTTGAGTGAATCGTCTGCTTTTTTACCTCGATGCAGATTAGAGGAAAAAAAACTTTTATCTTATTTTTTAAAACTTTTTTATGTCAATAATTTGGGTATTTCTGTTATGACTCATTATTATTCTATAAGTATTTTTAATTCGATATTCTATAAGTATTTTTAATTTGATATTCGATATTTCGTACTCAATGTTGTGGCTTCCGGAACCTATAAACTGAATGTTTACATTTTGAAAGGCAATGCGGATTTCAGGAGTCGGCGGATTTTGGGTATTTGACTGTACATGTAAAAGAATATGGTAATAATTAAATGCATGTAATAGAAATAAGATAAAGAATAGATAATAATTAAATGCACATAAAAGAATAAGATAAAGATAATGTGTAAAAGAATAAGGTATTACTTGAATGTAACAGAAGATAAAGAATGGGTAATAATTAAATATACATAAAAGAATAAGATGAAGATTATGTAAAAGAATAAGGTATAATACATGTTCTTTTACATGTATTATACCTTATTCTTTTATAAGGTAATAATTGAATGCATGTAATAAAAATAAGGTAAAGTATGATAATAATTAAATATTTGTAAAAGAATAAGGAATAATACATGTATAATAACTAAATGCATGTGATAGAAATAGGGTAAAATATGACAATAATTAAATATATGTAAAAGAATATAATAATTAAATGCATGTAACAAAAGTAAGATAACGAATAAGTGGTACTATTCGGTTTTGACGGCCGTAAAAAATTGCCAAACTATTGTTGATGGCAGTGCTGCCAAAAATAATTGTGGGAGCCCTAACGCAAGAAAAGAAGTGTAATAGTAAATAACTACAGTCAAAAGTCTTTAATCTGGACGTCCATAATCCGGACCTCAAAGCTACAAGCTTTCTGCGCATGCGTAAACGCAGTAATTCGTTTACGCATGCGCATATATGTTTACGCATGTGCATAATACCTTTACGCATGCACATATGTGTTTATGCTTGCGCATAATACGTTTACACATGTGCGTTTAATGTATAACAGACAGTATAAGCTAAGCTAAAATTATCTAATTATCTATTTCTGTTAATGTTGCAGATTGCATTGTTCTTTAATCTTCGAATTGGATCCGGCTCATTATTTTTTTCAGACTGTTAAAGCAATTTTATAAAAAGTAAGCTTGAACTTTCGATTATGTCAAAAGAGTTTCCAATTCAGGAGCTGCCAAAGGATCTACAAAGCGAAAGCATGTTTCGATGTCCATTAAACAAAAAGTGGAATTGCTGCAAAAAATGGATAAAGGCATGAAGAAAGTGACAGAGAGGTGATTTGTTTCTCTAACCATTCCGAAATCTGTTTATCAATTTCACGCTGCTCTGTGTGTGTGGGGGGGGGGGGAACGTCGTGGTGCGCAATGAACTGGAAGTTGATGTGTCTGCACTATCCTTATCTTCGAGGCAGATTTTTTATTTTATTCGGCTTATAATTCCTTACTAGATGTAGTAGTATTTCATCTCGATGTACTCTCTTTGATATGATTTAAATCAAATTCCTCGTCATTATAAATATCACGAATACACATCAAATAGTTTTCTGGTTGCAATTTTCTAATTTCGACTATGCGTAATGTATGCTTTATGCATGTGCGCATTGAAAGAAATGTTTAATAAAGTAAACAAGTGAATATTAAGTTTTTTTTTTTTTCGTTTTTGTAAATTTTGATACTCTTTAGATCATAATTGCTCTTTATTTCATAAATTATGGTTTCAGATTTTTAATTTTATAATATCTGGATGCCATTTTACCAGGTTTAAATATAATTCCCGACGAGTCCGGATTAAAGACTTTTGACTGTATTTAAGAACGATGTTTTAATTTAGATGAAATGTTAATTTCATATAATACTTTTTTATTATTATAATTTATATAAAAAAGGCTAAACATTACTGAATGGAAGCATAAGAGTAAATAACTATTTCAGATCATTTTTATAGTTTATATAAAATTGCTAAACATAACTGAATGGATGCCTGCATCCCTATTTCGCTACTGAGTTATCGCTAAAGCATAATTTCATCTCGTTGGTTGTTCAAACATAATTTTGTATAATGAATGATGCCTTTTCTATGAAAAAATTCTTGGTAAAGTGCAGAATCGCCCACTTATTTGTTTGCTGCTTTTTACAAGGGTAAAAACAATTGGATTTTTGTCAATTTTCTTTTACTTTTTAAGTGAAAATAGGTTGATGTGTACATAGATAAAGTCAAGGGTGTGCGCAGTGCCATTTTTGTGCAATTCTGGGATTTTTATTTTAAGTGAAAATAAGTCGATGTGTACATGGATACCGAGTATGTGCAATTCTTTAAAATGCGTCAAGCAGTGGGTGATTCTGCACTTTACTCAAAATTCTATTGCAGACTTTTCGTCACGGGCAATTCCCAAATTGTTAAATCCATAGGATATCAAAAAAGGATCTAAAAATTAAACTAATAATTCAATGGCGTCTTAAGAAATGTAGAATTATATAAGCTCACGCAATATGAAATCAGCGCATACGCTAGATTAGGCGCGCTGTTTAAATGTGCGCATTTGCTAGATTTGGTGCTTTTGCGCATACATTTTCGCTGCAATTTTTTTACGGTCCTCAAAACGGAATAGTACTGAACAAGTAATAACTAGATATATGTAAATGAAGAAGATGAAGATAATGTGAAAATAATAAGGAATAATATATGCAAAATAATAAGGTACTATTTAAATACACGTAAAAAAAATAAGATAAAGAATAATATATGTAACAAATAAGATAATAATTAAATACACAGAATGTTTTGTTAATATATGTAAATGAATACGGTAATTAAATATATGGAATAGAAATAAGATAATGAATATATAATAATTAAATGCATATGAAAGAATAAATTAAATACATGTAAGATAAAGACTAGATAAGATGAAATTCTAACTTCACTAATTTGTCATAACCTCTTAATCCACCGAGTGGCATTAAAATTTGAGTTTCTTATTTTCTTTAAATATAATCTTTGTGCCAAATTCTGACAATGAGGAGCACAACCATTCTTCAAACAATCCTTCAGTCGAGTAATGTTGCCATTTTTGTGTATATCTTTTCTGCTGCATTCAAAGTTCCAATGATTTTTATATCATATTTTGCCCTCAAATGAATTTAAAAATTTCGGTGAATCTTCAGATTATGGTAACTTGGCGATTTTTTGGCGACCAACCCTGCTACAGCAACCTGCTAGTTTTTTGTTTTTTTCCAGGGCGGGGGGGGGTCCCATTTTGTTTTCAAGAAGTAAAGGATTTTTTTTTTTTTTTTACGCAACATTTTTTCCAACAATCTGCTAGCCGAATTACGCTTATGCTAGAACTTTTATGGAACAAAAGTGCTTAATCATGACGAAGATTAGGTGCGAAATTGGGAGAAAGTGCAGAATCGTCCACTGCTTCGTGCGTTTTTAAGAATTGCACATACGTGGTATCCATGTACACGTCGACCTATTTTCACTTAAAAAAAATTCCAGAATTGCACAAAAATGGCATTATGCACACGCTTTATCCATGTACACATTGACCTATTTTCACTTAATAAAGTCAAAGAAGTTCTTACTCTTGTAAAATGCACCAAACAAATAAGTGGGCGATTCTGCACTTTAGCAGCGAAATTGTTTCTAAGTGCTTATTAGCTAAAATCACGATCGGAATTTTCCGGAAAATGTCACATGACATGTCTCATAATCTCTCATTTCTCTGAGGCAAAATACTCTGTGATTCGAACTGTGTACTTCTCAGATTATTGCTAAAGTCCTACCTAGTAACCTTTATCGCCTTACCAAAATGTCGCCAAACTACCTGTTACCATATTCCAAAGATTAGCCAAAATTTCGTTTGTGGAATTCACCAGGAATGTAAGAAATTGCAATAAAATTTCTGGAGGACTACATAATTTTGCTGCAAAATCTCTGAAGAAAATTATGAGAAAACGCATTTGGTAGATCAACAGAATTGCTGATTTTTGTCTGAAGCCAAATCTCTGAGATTCCCTACATTTTTAGCCCAAAGGGCATTAGTCCAGAAGTGATATTTATTTCGTTTTGGCATTTTGCATTGGTTCA